GACAGCAGTGCGAGTGACAGCATTACATTGGAGTGCGTGACCTATCACCGCCATCAGAAGCCGAAGAAATTGAAAGGGGCGTTAACAATAAACGCGAGGTGCACTTCATCGGACACCCAAGGCGTTTAAAGGAAATCTCGGTACAAAAAATTTCGCCAAAAGACTATTTCTTTACCAATATCAACAATTTAACAACAATATTTGCTACAAACTTTCTGAAGTTAAGAATCTGACAACACGACAGTAAAAAAAAGACAAAAATGGGCGTTAAATCTAAATTATCAACAACTGCGGATACACACATGCTCGCATGCACGAACACACTAGCACGTACGTAAACACACATGAACAAAACGCACGCATAGAGGATTTTTGGCAAAAAGAAATCATTTTAAAGCACTCAAGTGAAAATAAAAATGTGAATAAATTTGTATTGAGAGGTTACTTTTGGCAGTGGTAGCTAATATATAGAAATAGCCTATATTAAATAGTTTCCTAAGCTTAATGGATTATAAAAAATATTTAATTAAACTAATGCAATGTAATGCACACCGCATGAGGCCGAAACTATTGGCTGTAGAAAATATTGTTCTAAAGAAAAAAATATATTTGTATAATAAATAGATGAAATAAAACCACCAAGTTAAAATTAAGTTACTTTAATACATAATTGTATATACATACGATTGGGCTTACTCAAACAAAGTTTAGCTATAATAGAAGTAACAACTACACCTGACGAGGTTTAAGGAGCATTGTTTTCGGATGATCGAACAGATTCGTGATAGCGCATGACTTAAACACAAACTAAACATTATATTAGACATAAAAATAATAGCTGAAGGACATAAATATACGATGTTGGCGCCGAATGTACTAATTACTTCTTACTAATTACTTGTATTGAGATACAAGTGAATACACTAGGGCCAAGGCGGAAGCGGAAAATTTGCAAAACAGTTTGATTGGTATCACATATCTGATATCACTGATATCATAGCTTCACGATCCAACTTAAAGAACGTACAAGAACTGATCATTTAATAATTCTTATACTATCAACAGCGTTAAGCAATAAAATAGAAAAAAAAAATTCAAACTACTGACTGGCAAGAGTATAAAGAATTTATCACAAATTAAATTATAATATAATAATTAAATAATAAATTTTTAAAAACCAAGATCTGTTTAGCTCAATCTCTTATATTACCGTTCTTAGACTATGCAGATTCCTGCTATTTAGATGCTACTGAAGAACTGCTAAATAAGCTTGAATGATTGCATAATCTATGTATAAGGTTCATCTTAGGCCTTCGTAAATATGATCGAATCTCACACTATCGCAATCAGCTCAAGTGGCTTCCCATTCGTCTCCGCAGGAATTTGCTTCTCGTCTCTCTTCTTTACAACATTCTACATAATCCTTTGTCTCCCAGGTATCTGAAAGAGCATTTCAGTTTTCTCAGGTCTCAGGATAAGCTTTGTCGCTCTCTTGTCAGGGTCCAATTATGGGTGGTTCTCTCGTTTGCTGCAAATCGCATGTTCATCAAACTTAAAAAAGTACGATCAAATATTTTTTCAATATTTAAGCTGAGTGACGTTCTATTCCTGCCACCTAAAACTAATTGCATTGTTAAGGAATAAGTATGCAAAAAAATAAACATAATGCTGAAATAGCATTACCAACACCGTGCGAGACACGAATTATGAGGATTGGAAATAAATTTCAAAATATTCTGATATATTACTGGGTGCTATTCTTCTGAGGTGCTTAATGAACATATTAAGGAATAAAATTGTGAAATTCGTAAGTACTTTGCGATTATTGTTTACGTTCGCGATGATAAAATAATTTTGTAAAAAAAAAATAAAAACTCATTACCATCAATCCAACTTGAAATAACAAAATCAGCCTGCTAACATTCAAATAGTGTTGTTCCCCACCCCCTTCCCCGCGCATGATTTCAAACTCAGTCGACCGGAGAACAGAGCACAGGGTGAACGCTAGCAGAATTTTGTGAAAATAATATTTACGGAGGAGATTTTAGCCTTGGTATGTTTTTTTTTCATCACCATTCGTGCTTTTTAGGGACAAGTGCTAATTATTTAATTGTATCGTAAATGCTAAGATAGTCAGCATCGAGTTCAAAAACTGTCTTAACTGTTACACTTGCGTATTGTTATTACTCAAAGAGCGAAACTTAAAAAAGTACTAATATATCATTACCATTCTTCTCATTACCATAATTTACCATCAACTATTTGGGAAATGGTAATGATTATAAATTATGGTAATGAGTTTTTGTTTTAACTTTTAAAACCAGCTCAGGTCATGAGTATCTTCGCTTCAATCATTTCCAAGTTTCGCGTTAGGTTCCACTAGTTTATACTCGCCTCAGTTATAACCGTCTGCGAATCATAATTATTATTATACGTTATTTACATGTACTAAACATGGCTAAAGTAAAGTTCAAAAAGACCCGTGAAGAAAAGTTAGTTCAAGCAAAATTGCGACGATGAAAGAAATATGAAGAAATAGAAAATGATCCAGAAAAATATACGATTCAGAAAGAAAAGGAAAGAATTAGATATTTAAAGCGAAAAGAACAAAAAAAATCAAGAGTGTAGCCGACATGACACCAAGGGAGAAGAGACATCAAAGGAAAAAATGGAAGCAAAATAGCAAACAATATGTAGAAAAAAAGAAAATAAACAGAAGAATACAGCAGTTGCTGATTGATGGCACACCTCCACACACAAGTGATTATGAAAATGATGCAGATATCGTTCTTCTACAAAATCCATTAAAAAGACCTTCTAACCAAGGACAAGAGGCGCCTAACAGAAGAAAAAAAGAAAAAAAAAATCAATTAAAAAAAAAAACAAAAAAAGAAAAATTTAATAAGAAAACTACGCTGTAATCACAAAAAGCAGATAGGTAAACTGAAACAGGAAAAAGAAAAAATTGAAAAAGAGAGGGATGCAGTGAAAAGGATGCTGACTAATATGATGAATGAAATGATGATGATGAGAATGAATGATGTCGTGAAAAACCGATTACGACAATGGAATCTATGGAACAAAAAGTAGAGAAATTCATAGAAACAGTAGACGGTGACAAACCGCACTGCTATTACAATAGTGTGTTAACTCAAAAATTTTTCAGAATCTTCGAAAAACCTCTTACTCACTGCCAGTGATACATTATTAAAATTAATTGTATAGTATAAAGTTGTTACTGACACGAAAACAATTTCCTACTTACCAAATTAATTTGAAATTAACAGGGAAAAAGTTATTTTAATTTTTTGAGTAAGGACTGTTTTGTTGGGAATATAGCATACAAAGAAATTTTTCATTTTGAGTTAAGCAGGTATTGTCGAAAAAATTTGGGTTATTGCAATTTAAGCTGATTTGTTCTCTTAAAAATGTTAGTTCTGTAATTATTTATCTCAATTTATTTTTATTTATTTATTTTATTTTATACATTTAAACACTTATTTTACCTAAAAAATTAAATCAAACATGAAAGAACAAACATTCACTAAAAATAAAAACAGATTTTTTTAAATAATTATGCACAAATTGTTATAATTAGGAGAATTTATAACAAAATAAACCTTCTAAACCATAATTAGTTTCATAAATAAATCAAAATTAGTCTCATAAAATACAAATTAACATTTCTTCTTATACTTAAATATTTATTAACTGTAATTTACGGTTACTTATGGCACCATCTAGGAAAAAAACAATTTTATTAAAAAAATTATCACAGCAAATTGTACACTATAAGTTCACTTAAACTAGTTTATATTAAGCAGTCTAAAAATCACAGAGAAATCTTTATTAGTAAATGACATTACAAAATTACCCTTAAAATCTATATTATTTTATTAAAATTAATCAGTCAAATTTAATTTTTTAAAGTAGGTTCTTATTATATATATAGCCATTCTACACGAAGGTTTTAGCTGTTGGGTCGGGTCTGGTGCAGTATAACGTTCTATAGTAGGACTCAAACAGTTTGCCATTTCTCTAACAAAGCTGTAGTGTTTATGTCTAAAAAGTCTTCTAGTTGCACAGAATTGTTGTCAAGAGAAGTTGGCAAGTCAATAAACCAGAGATGATATCCATGTGAGCTTATCACATGGATGTCACCATTTTCACAAAAGAAACAACTCAGCTTTCTGAAGGTCATTCGAAGGCTGTTAGATGACCAGAGAACTTGATGCACTGACATGGTTCCACGAAATGGTTGAACATCTGAGGGGAACGTTTTCTCTTTCTCATCTTGCTCTAAGACAGAAAGCAGCTTGATATTTTTAACTTCGCCTCGAATTTGCCTCCACAATTCATCAATTATGCCAATATCTTTACCCAGCCGTACAACTTGATCTGCAGTTCTTTTCAGGGTTGCACCAACTCCATCCGGCGCTCCCTTCCCATGTCTCGCTACTAAATAGTTCCAGGTTATAGATTTCAACTCTGGAATCTCTTGGTGTAGTTGTCCAATGACATAAAACATGTACCGTTCATAAAACATGTTCCTATATTGACTTGATGGGCTGTCAGATATAAAATGTATTATGTCACTCTGCGGTGATATTTTTTAGATGTAACCAATGAGTGGTATAAGATGAATCCATACAGCTCTTGCATCATGTTGATTGCATTCAGTGATGCTGCAAGTACTATATGACTTCATAATTTCACTATTTTGACCAATGAGGTACACTACTGCATTGTGTAATGTTATTTGTGCACGGCTACCACCGAAGTGAAAACTTTGTATCTCTTCATTAAATTTGACTGAGTAATTTTCTGAGAAATCTAGGTGTACTACAGCCTCCTTGGTAGTCAATGTCGCCTTTAGAGATTTTAAATTTATTTATTTATTTATTTATTTTACTTTAATTATAACGGACACACCAATTACAATAATTAAAGATACATTACTAACATAACAACTTAATAAACACAACAAGATTAAGTACCATTCAAGCATCGCCTTCACAATAGCATAGGCATCTTAACAATAACAGTGACCATCCGTCCGCAAGCAAGTCGCATTCAGGGTTGGTGGCGAGGAGAGAGTTGAGCGCGCACAGGGAGCGCGGTATGGGTGATTTAGCGCGCGCTACGGTTCGGCTCCATGCGGTGGCCATCAACTGGTGTCTTCTAATGCGGTGGTAGTTGACGGGGGCAAAGAGTCGACACAACTCATTATGCAAATCGTGGGAAACTATACTGCCGCAGAGAATTTTGCACATAACCACAAGTTGGTGTTTCATTCGACTAACCTCCAGCGAGTTATATCCTAGGCAACCCAGTAGAAAAGCAATAGGATACATGTAGGGATAGCACCCGTTGGCATGTTTGTGTAAATATCTAAGAAACGCTTTCTGTACTTTCTCTAACATAATACTATATGTGCTTTCATGTGGGTTCCACACACACATGGAGCTCTCCAATTTACTTCGCACTAATGCATTGAAAAGAAGTTTGATCACGGAGGCACTTTCAAAATCCTTACAGTTTCTAAGGATGAACACTAAACGCCGAAAAGACTCCTTGGCAAGAGCTTCGATGTGGTCATGAAACGTTAACCTCCGATCGAAAACTACACCCAAATCTTTTATGGTGGTCAATTGAGTTACGCCATCTCCACCTATATTGTAGGCATAAGTTGTCGGATGCCTTACCCGAGCGAAAGTCATCACATGACACTTATCATTTAAAAATTTATACTGAGCAACAATATAGCATAGTGTTTCAAATGTGATTTTATTGCCTTCTGTACCTTTTCTGTGACATTTTTTGGATAATCCTGCATTTTTGTTATTGAATTAACAACCTTAGTTTTTTCTTCTCCTTTTGTGGTATAATTTTCTTTCTTTGTACGCCACTCATGTTATTGTTTATCTTATCTTCATTGTTAAACTCTTGAAAGTTAATTTGTTTCATTTTGCATACTTGACAAATTCAGTTCAAGCCTCTCTCATTATAAATATCACAACATAAACTTTCGAGTAAAGCAGTACCATTTCCTTGAACAATGATTCTATTTTCGTTAAGACTTTTGTTTAATAAATCAAAATTCATATGTACCTTACAAGCGCAGGTATTTCAATGAGACTTCAAATTCAAATTCAAAATTCAAAATAATCTTTATTTCATAGATAAGCATAATTACACTTGAAATCGTCACAATGGTTAAACTCTACCGCTCATTCGTAAGGCAGATTCCCCTGAGAAGAATGAGCAAGAAACTCTAGGGGTTGCTCTTTGTAAATAACATTTACAATATTTTTTTATTTGAAACATCAGATTGAGACTACCTCCATGAGCTAAACGGGTTACTACCACGGATTTTTGTCATCCAAGTACGCAGAAGTTGTATAATAACCTTTAGTATAAAGTTTTTGTTTCACTATAGTTATAAACCTCGTGAAAGGCAAATTTTGTATATCAACCGGAATCTTGTTATAGAAGCGTATACATTGCCCCTTAAATGATTGTTTGACTTTGTGAAGACGACTATCAAGAAAAACTAGTTTATTTTTATTCCTCGTATTAATGTTATGTCTGTCACTATTTTTCATAAAGAAATTACTATTCCTTTTAACATAAATTATATTTTCATAAATGTATTGTGAGGCTAGTGTAAGAATGTTAATTTCCTTAAACTTATCTCTCAAAGATACTTTGGGGCCCAGATTGTAAATTGCCCTAACTGCACGTTTCTGCAGGACAAAGATTCTATTGATATCGGCGGCATTACCCCAAAGCAAAATGCCGTATGTCATTAGACTTGAAAGTAGCTGAAGTAAACCAATCTAGCGGTTTCGACGTCTGAAAGTTTCCTTATTTTTTTAATCGCGTACACTGCAGAGCTGAGCCGTTTTGACAACTTACTTATATGGGGACCCCATTGCAATTTAGCATCTAACGTTATAACTAGAAATACAACTGTATCCACAAGATTCAATTTTTCGTTTCTAACTACAATGTTTGTAACCGTCTCTCTAACATTGGGTAATGTAAATTTCACACAATTTGTTTTTTTCTCATTAAGAAGTAGGTTATTAAAAGCAAACCAATCAACTACTTTAGATATAGCATTGTTCACATCGTCATAGGAACATTGGTGCCTTTTAACTTTAAATAATAAGGAAGTATCATCAGCAAACAATACTATCTCATGTTTTATACCCTCCATAAGGCTAGGTAAATCATTAATATAAACTAAAAACAAAAATGGGCCTAGAATTGAACCTTGAGGGACACCCATGCTAATTACAGACCCTGACGATCTCGTACCGTTAACATCGACCCTCTGTACCCTACCACGCAAATACGATTTAAGAAGGTCGAGATCACGTCCCGCCACACCATAATGGCGAAGTTTCCTGACCAGTGTATCATGGTGCACACAATCAAAAGCCTTGGAAAGGTCACAGAATACACCAATAGCATCATGTGAGACTTCCCATGCATCAAATATATGATTAATCAACTCTACACCAGCGTCGGTTGTAGAGCGACCCCGAGTGAAACCAAATTGTTTAGGAGACATTAAATTATTACTATAAAAATGTGCACACATCTGATTTAGAATAATTTTTTCAAATATTTTACTGAGAGTTGGTAGTATTGATATAGGTCTGAAATTGGTGGGGTCAGAAATACTACCAGATTTGAAAAGTGGAATAACTTTACTTTGCTTCATGAGGTCAGGAAAGACACCATCATCAACACATTTATTAAAGACACAGGCTAAGTAAGGCGCAATACAATCAACTATAGAACTAATTACTCTGACTGAAAGACCATCAAGATCAGCAGTATTTTTTATATTTATAGACTTAAAGGCTTTAACAATATCGTTTGGAAATACATGACGGAACCTTAAATTAGTGATACTAACTGCATTATTTTCTTTTAGTAAGGATTCAGCGGCCGTGGGAGATGAATTTAACGAATTAGTAGTCAAAATTGGAAAATCGGTAAAAAAAATTTCAAATATTTTAGCAACTTCTGCGTCTGTGTTTACAATTTTGTCATTAAATCTTAGTTGAAAATCTAAGTTACGAGGTTTGACCCTTCCAGTTTCGCTATTTATAATATTCCAAGTCGTTTTTACTACATTCGCGCTGCTTTTTATTTTATTATTATTAAACATTGCTTTGGCTGCCACACAAACACGTTTAAACATTTTCGAATATTTCCTAACAAAATCATTAAAACTGTTACTAGTGTTATAAGTTCTTTCATCGTAAAGATCATATAGCCTTTGTCTACTTTTGTGAATTCCCACAGTCGCCCATTCACTAAATTTCAATGAATTATTAATAGTTATGATTTTGGACTTAAAAACATTATCACGTTCACTTTTCACTATGTTGAAAACTGAATTATACAATTTATTGGGATCGTTAACGTACGGAATGTCAGTTAGTTTAAGCATTACGTTATTTCTATAAGCTTTAAGTCGACCATTATTTATCGGAACACATGTGATATCCTTTTTCGGCATTTTGTCAACAGTTATATTAAAAGTGGCCAATTGACCGCAGTGATCTGAAGTTAATTTATTTATAATAGATTTATTACTAGGTACGGCGTTGGTATAAATGTTGTCTAAACAAGTGGCAGTAGTAGAAGTTATTCTAGTAGGCACCAAAAAAAGATTCACAAGGTTATAACATTGGAAAAATGATATGAGCCTACTGCTAGCACTGGAATCTTCTAATAAGTTAACATTGAAGTCACCACAAACAGCAATATATTTATTTATATTATTTAATTTGGCTAAAACTTCATCTAATCTTTTTTCAAATAGTTCGTAAGATGAATGAGGGGGTCTGTACACGCTTAATATAACAAGCCGTTCAAGCTCTATGCAGGATATCTCTATAGTCCGCTCAATAGATAGGCTCACAATATCTGTACGTTCTTTAAATTTTAAATTATTTTTAATAAGAATTAAAGAGCCGCCATGAATAGCTTTTTCTCTGCTGAACGAACTAGCCACCTGGTGATTGTTGAAGCTAAACATGAACTGATGTTGTGATAGAAAGTGGTGTTCAGTAATACAAAGAATATCAATATTGTTACAGTTAATAAATAATTCTATTTCTAGCTCTTTGCCTTTCATGCCTTGAATATTTTGGTGCACCAGGTTTAATATAAAATTTATTTTATTTCTGTGTGTTTTAGGTTGGTTTCTTACTATCAATGTGTTGCAAGAGTATCTCTCCGTTGTCTTATTAATTAATTTAAATAATTAGAAATTGAATTAATTTCAACAGAATTATTATTGTCACTAAACTGACCTATGTCAACGGACTGCTCAATAGAAGCAGCCGGTCTGGTAGCCAATGATTTGGCTGAATTATTAATATAATACGATAGCATCTCTGCTATCTGTCTCCTAAAATAACTAGTAAGATAATACCTATCTTTAGTCAAATAAAAATATTTACTAATAAAATTATTAGTATCCATAAAATGAAATTTACTATAATGAAATGTCAAGCTGTGTAATGTCCTATTTAAGTTATGCCTCAAATTATTTTCACTTGTTGTGAGGCAATTGCTGAAGGGAAAAGCTAACAAAATAATTTCTTTTATATTAATTAAATTATTTAATTGTGAAAAATATTGTATTAAATCTTTTTTGTTACATTTTCCTCTTCTGCCAATTAAAATTATTAATGAAGTGTCTTTGTCAAACTTAGTTGACAAAATACTATCTAATATTTTACAGTATGTTGCACCTGGCATGCAAATATTTGTTAATTTTAATCCTAGGTGGTTAAGTTGCAAACCTATATTTTTACCCATTTCATCACTATACATAACTATATTATTTTGAATTGCATTTGATCTAGTTATTGACAAAGAGGTATTTTTTGATTCTAAACAAGATTCCTGCAACAACAATGAGGAGGGATTAGTGACACACACAGACAGGGAGGATTGTGGTTTTATTTCTTTGCAATTGCAAACTTGATTATTTGTTAAAGAGTCAAATCTGTCATTATTATATCTACATAAATCTAATAAATTATCCATAGCATGTGTGTGCTCCTTAATATCCTATTGCGCAGTTTCATATTTCTGTGTTATTAATTTTAATGAATTTGTTACACTATGTAATTCTGCCTGGAGGCGCTGTGTGTCACATTCATAGCTAAGCCTATTTTTCTCAAGATTTTGTGTACAATCCATTGACTTACAAATAAATGGACGACGGGTCTAATACAAAAACCACGAAAAAAATGTCCCAAGTCAACCTATTCGAAATTTAAATTG